TAGCATTATTTCTAATACTTGACAGAAAAGTTGTATGGACAGGGAGGGAACCTGAATTTGCTTCTGTGAGTTTGTGTAAGAAAATTTCAGCGTCCTGTCATCAACCTTTCTGGACCTCTTTCCCTCTTCTGTGAGGCCTAGTTTACTTTGATATAGGAAGAATTCTATAATATCCAGAATCATATCTTCTGTTTTATTGGTAATGCCTAGCCAGCCTGGCCAACATGGCAAAACCTTGTCTCTACTAAAAATACAAAAATTAGCTAGGCATGGTAGCACATGCCTATAATCCCAGCTACTCAGGAGGCTGAGGCATGAGAATTGCTTGAACCCAGGAGATGGAGGTTGCAGTGAGCAGAGATCATGCCACCGCACTCCAGCCTGGGTGACAGAACAAGACCCTGTCTCCAAAAAAAAGAAAAAAGTAATGCCTAGGACATTACTCAGATTGATTTCAATAATAGCTGCCTTTGAGTACGGGAACTATGTGCTGTAATTGTCATAATGTTATCTCCTTCTTCTAAAGAACTTCATGGGGTAATGGATGATATGTCAATTTTACAATAAGCACATGGAATTAACTCCCAAGTAATCTGCACAAATCCTGACAGTTATAAGTGTTGGAGCCAGGACATGAAGCTAGCTGTCTCTGAATCTGAAGCCTACCCCTTTCTCTAGTATTTAAGGCCCTAGTTTCTTAAACAAGGCTGGTCGTTTGCAGTTTCTTCCCTCCACAAAAAACTTAAGCTAGCCCTTCAGTATTTACCAGGCTCACACTCAACACCTGAAAATGATGTATCTGGCCCACATTCTTTGACACACCACCACTCCTCACATACACCAGCCTTATGGAATGCTTTTAACAAGATTGTACAAAAATGAATAAACTCATTAAGTTTATAAGAATTCTGGAAATAAATATCCCCAAACAGGAAAGGACTATATTCCGATTTATTTCTTTCAACAATGTTTCCTAGTTTCTACTTGGGATTTTTCTCTCAAACCTCTCAAATAATGAGTTTATTTATTTGAAATCATGTTGTTGAAAGAATTTTAAATAAAAATCTTTCCTCTGAGATGGATGACGATGACTAGGAAATTCATCCCCATGTTCCCATTTATGGGAAGTGAGGGGATCACCCTGCATGGGCAACAGTACACGAGCTATGGAAGCTCATCCTCCACTGCTGAAATGTTTAATCTGAGATTACAATGAGCGTCCTTCTCTTTTTTTCTCATTTATTTCACATGGAATGTGGTAATTATCAAGTTTTATCTCCAAGCTCAAAGCCAGACACAAAGTTCGAGTGCTCTGCATGTTAAAAAGAACTATGTGGACTTTACAGCTCCTTCCATTCCTGAAATTCTACGGTTCATCCTTTCCGGCAGACACAACAAACAATTTCCAGTCCCACGTACACAATCTAAAAAAATTGGGGAGGGCCAGCGCGCATGCTCAATACTCAAGCCAGCCAGCCTGTCCCACAGCCAGTTGTTCCTGCGCCTGCGTACGGGAGACGCCTCGCCCAGTTTGCGGGCGGGAAGCAACCTGGAGAACCCGGATGGAACCCGGGCCTGGCTGGTTAGGAGTATGTTGCGGATGCTTCTCTCTCCAAGCGTACCGCAGATTCCTGTTCGAGGGTGGGACCTGAGGAACCATCGCCGGCCTAGACTGGTTCCGACGGCGAGACGCTGGGCCCTAGACTGAGCGGAGAGCGGAACTGGAGCCTGAAACGGGCGCTCGAAAGAAGCCCGAGCATCCCTTGGGCCTGCGTCTCAGGCTCGGAGACCGGCGGGCGGAGACCGCGCTGAGTCTTTTCTTTCCTCGCCGCTGGCGTTCTTAGCTCACCCAGGAGGCTCTAAAAATCTGCGTCCTTAACAATAATACCACCAGGCCCTATCAATTAAGAGCTGCGTGTTCTTTGCATGCATTCTTAAAATTAAACCTCCCAACAACCCTGTAAGGTAGGTACTGTTATCCCCTCTGGAGGAACTGAGGCTTGGAAAGGTCCCAGCTTGTAAGCGACAAAGTCACGATCCCAGGCGTTTGCCCCTGGAGCGTCTGCCCAGCCACCAAGTTCCTGCCCGCTTTCTCCTGGCTCTCAATTTTATCTAAAACGTAATGGTTAAATGCTCTGCCTCACGGAACACCTGCGCCTACCATGGCCTTGCATACGCAGTGGTTAGATGGAAGTTGAATTATATTTGGTTTGGAGTTTTAGGTTTACAAAACTGCACTTTGGTGTTTTCTGTGTATATTAGCATTCCCTAATTGCTTTGTGAGTGTTCACTTTTAACTGATTTTTCTCAGTTGTGATACGTTTTCGTATCTGCCCTTCATAAACTTGCAAAAACATTTTACTTTGTTATATCAGATCTAAGCATCTGAAGATAATCTCTCAAAAGAATCATTCTTAAAAATGAATGATGCCTATTTTTAAATAATGCTTTTTATTTTTTTTTATTATTGGAAGTTTCCAACATACATAAAAATAGGAACAGTGTAATGATGTGTACCCATCATTCAGCTTCAAAAGTTACCAACTTAAGGCCAGTCATTTCTTTTATTTCCACCCCAATTTGTGCATGTTTGTGAGTGTATGCTGAAGTACAGTACTTCAAAAGAAATCCCAGACATCTTATCATTTCAGTTGTAAATAATTGTATCTAACAAATAAGGTATTTTAAAAACACAACCACAATACCATTATCAGGCCTGTTTAACCATAATTCCTTATGATGATGATGCTTTTTTAATGTTTACATTTTTTAGGATATTGTAATTCCTAAATACCACAAAAGCGCAAGTGCAGATTATAAGGTTCTAAAAACACAAGCCTCTTGGGCAGTAAGTTCATCTTTGAGGCTCTTGAAAATTCTTGCCATCTATTCTCCCATTTTTGAGGGGGCTGGAGAAGAATACTATAAATTGATTTTCCTAAAACTTCTTTTGTACATAACAGATAAATTTTAAAATATATTTGAGATACATAGTCAAAGTGGATAGGAATGGACTCTTAATAGATTTTGTAACGATTTCCAGTTCTATTTTGTTTGTTATGTTTTTGAGACCGTCTCACTCTCACCCAGGCTGGAGAGTGCCGTGGCGTCATCTCGGCTCACTGCAACCTCCGCCTCCCAGGTTCAAGTGATTCTCCGGCCTCAGCCTCCCGAGTAGCTGGGATTACAGGAGCCCGCCACCATGTCCAGCTAATTTTTGTATTTTTAATAAAGACAAGGTTTCATCGAGTTGGCCAGGCTGGTCTCGCACTCCTGACCTCAGGTGATCCACCCGCCTCGGCCTCCCAAAGTGCTGGGATTACGGGTGTGAGCCACCGTGCCTGGCCTTTTTTTGAGACGGAGTCTGCTCTCACCCAGGCTGGAGTGCAGTGGCGTGATCTCAGCTCACTGCAACCTCCGCCTCCTGGGTTCAAGCAATTCTGCCTCAGCCTCTCAAGTAGCTGGGATTACAGGCGTGCGCCACTACATGCAGCTAATTTTTGTATTTTTTTTTTTTCAGACGGGGTTTCACCATGTTGGTCAGGCTGGTCTTGAACTCCCGACCTCAGGTGATCTGCCCGCCTTGGCCTCCAAAGTGCTTGGATTACAGGCATGAGCCACCACGCCTGCCTCTTGTAATGATTTCTAATGTGACTAAAAACATTTTCCTTTATTCCCTCTGCCTCCCCAAATATACATGATAAATATGCATTAATAGAATACAGAAAAATAAGCATTTTATGGTAATGTTGTAATTTTATTAATTAGAAGTGGTTCTAAGCAAAAGTAGCCATGTAGTCTCATTACTTGACAAAAGAAGGCTTAAGATCAGCTCCTTAAACTTCAGGTTGTCTTTTTTGGTTGACAGTCAACCTCCATTTAACAGGCTTATAACAACCATATAACAGGTCAGCTTAATAGTTTTATTGGAGTACATTTTACAACTATTTCATCTTGGTAGATCCACTTGAAAGCTAATGCTTTAAGTAGATACTCTTGGCTTGCTTGTGATTTTTCTTTTAATGGCCAAAGTAGGCATTCAGATTTAAATGTGTACCTGTTACTTTATTTCAGCCACATTCTCTGGCCCAGAACTTTGGAAATTTTGGGATCACTTATTTATCTTGGACATAGAATGTTTTCTAAGGTATATTTGAGCCTACCTGTGGATTATGCCTTTACTCGTTTCTAAAGAGAAAGAGAAAAGACATGGCTTTCAATTTTAGTTGTTAACTTTCATAAGAGGCTGCCATCAACTCAGAAAATGTAGAAAAATTAAATATCTGTTAAAACATTTGGACCATTCACTTGGGAACCTAGAATGTTTGTTAGCTAGGGATTGGTCTGAAGGATGTTTTTATTCCCCTAAATCTGACTACTTAACCAGGAGGTGTTTCAGGATCGCCTGGACAACATCATTTCATATTGTTTTGTTCTGCTTCTGGAGAAGATGATTTATTAGTTCTAAGGTAGTGCAGAGACATGTATACTTTTAAAGGGGTTCCCAGTGATTGTGATGATACCGTATCTTTTGTCACAGATCACTGTTCTAGTTACTATTTATAAGAATTATCTAAAATACTTAATTTAGAATACAGATTCTGTGCCCCCACTCCATAACTAGAGAATCAGAATCTCTATTCAGATAGGACCTTCTACATCCTATCGTTGGGTTAAACAAAACCTTAGGAATGCTGCTTATTTTTAATGTGTGTTTGTGTGTGTTCTTTCTTAACTGCTTTTACTGAGAGGTATTTAGATGGAAAAGCATCATGAAATTCCTTATTGTACTTAAGGATGTTCTCATATGAGAGGGATTTTTCTGAAGTCTCGGTAGCAAGAATAGTTTTTCTCCTGAGCAAGTAAGTTGTTTTCTTTTTTTCTTTTTTTTTGACAGACTTTGTCGCGTAAGCTAGAGAGCAGTGGCACGATCTTGGCTCAGTAGTTGGGACTACAGGTGTATGCCACTATGCCCAGCTAATTTTTTGTATTTTTAAGAGAGACGGGGTTTCACCATGTTGCCCAGGCTGGTCTTGAACTCCTGAGCTCAGGCAGTCTGCCCACCTCGGCCTCCCAAAGTGCTGTGATTATAGGCGTCAGCCACTGCTCCCAGCCTATTCACTGATTCTTAACTGAGGATGTGCATACATATTTGAAGCCGAATGGAAGGAGGTAGTGGTAGTGAGATGCCCTTTCCAGGGTTACAAAATGCGCTAGATTTGTTTGTAGCATACGTTATTGAAAACAAGTTAGGCCATACCTGTAATTCACCAATAAATAACTTGTCTAAGCTCAAATTTCCCGCATATAATTTACTAGCAAATCATTTATTCCAAGACTTTAGCTATGAGTTGCTAGCTTTAAGTTGAACTATATCCTGTCTTGGCTTACTTCTAATTGGCATGCTGCAGGCTATATCTTGGCATGTACAAAATAGCATGTGATGACAAAATAGCATGTGATATGGCTTTATTTTAATTCAGTTAGCCAGTAGTTTTTAATGTGTGGGTTGTATTTTACTCCCAAAGCAAAATTCTGTGGCATCTCTGGAATACTACCTGAGAATTTTTGTGTGCCATGTCGAAGAAACGCAAATGGGATGATGACTATGTTCGCTACTGGTTCACCTGTACAACAGAAGTTGATGGAACTCAGCGCCCACAGTGTGTGTTGTGTAACTCAGTATTTTCAAATGCTGATCTCAGACCATCAAAACTGTCAGACCATTTTAACAGACAGCATGGTGGTATAGCTGGGCATGATGTCAGTAGCCTGAAGCATATGCCCACACCATCTGATCAGAGTGAAACCTTGAAAGCATTTGGAGTTGCATCTCATGAGGATACTTTATTACAAGCATCATATCAATTTGCGTATTTATGTGCCAAGGAGAAGAATCCTCATACAATAGCCGAAAAGTTAGTGAAACCTTGTGCACTGGAAATAGCACAAATAGTTTTGGGACCAGATGCACAAAAGAAGCTTCAGCAGGTACCCTTATCAGATGATGTGATTCATTCTAGAATTGATGAAATGAGCCAAGATATCTTACAGCAAGTTCTAGAAGATATCAAAGCCAGTCCTCTTAAAGTGGGCATTCAGCTTGCTGAGACAACTGACATGGAGGAGTGCAGTCAGCTAATGGCATTTGTGCGATATATAAAAGAAAGAGAGATCATAGAAGAATTTCTCTTCTGTGAACCATTGCAGCTATCCATGAAAGGAATAGATGTGTTCAATCTCTTCAGAGACTTCTTTCTGAAGCATAAGATAGCACTTGATGTATGTGGCTCTATTTGTACTGATGGTGCCTCCTCTATGCTAGGAGAAAATTCTGAGTTTGTTGCCTATGTGAAAAAAGAGTTACCTCATATCGTGATCACACATTGTTTATTGAACCCTCATGCACTTGTCATAAAGACATTGCCTACAAAACTGAGGGATGCTCTATTTACTGTGGTGAGGGTAATAAATTTCATCAAAGGGAGAGCTCCAAATCATCGCCTGTTTCAGGCTTTCTTTGAAGAAATTGGCATAGAATATAGTGTCCTCCTTTTCCATACTGAAATGAGGTGGCTTTCCCGAGGCCAGATACTTACTCATATTTTTGAAATGTATGAAGAAATAAATCAGTTTCTTCACCACAAAAGCAGTAATTTGGTTGATGGCTTTGAAAATAAAGAGTTTAAAATTCACCTAGCATACCTTGCAGATTTATTCAAACATTTAAATGAACTCAGTGCATCTATGCAAAGGACTGGGATGAACACAGTATCAGCTAGAGAGAAGTTATCTGCTTTTGTTAGAAAGTTTCCATTTTGGCAAAAACGAATTGAGAAAAGAAATTTTACCAATTTTCCTTTTCTTGAAGAAATAATTGTTTCAGATAATGAAGGAATATTCATTGCAGCTGAAATAATACTGCATCTGCAACAATTGAGCAACTTCTTTCATGGCTATTTTTCCATTGGAGATCTTGATGAGGCAAGTAAATGGATACTGGATCCATTTCTTTTTAATATTGATTTTGTTGATGATAGTTATTTAATGAAAAATGATCTTGCTGAATTACGAGCTAGTGGCCAAATCCTAATGGAATTTGAGACAATGAAGCTTGAGGATTTCTGGTGTGCTCAATTCACAGTGTTTCCAAACCTGGCAAAGACAGCTCTAGAAATCCTTTTGCCATTTGCAACTACATACCTTTGTGAGTTGGGATTTTCATCACTTTTACATTTCAAAACGAAGTCCAGAAGCAGCTTTAATCTGAGTGATGATATCCGTGTGGCTATTTCAAAAAAAGTTCCTCGTTTTTCAGACATCATTGAACAAAAGCAGCAGCTACAGCAGAAGTCAATGTAAGCTGACATACTTTTTAAATGTGTAATTTTAATCAATATCATAAAATTAAGCTGTAATTCTGTTTCTTTCCATTCATATTTATGATACACTGAATTCTATGTTTGAAAAAATTTAATGACTTTAACTTTGAATGAGGCATGTGAAAGTGTGTTTTGAGAGTAAAAACACAAACAGCAGAAAAGATGAAGTACTACTGCCTAGTTGCTATCATGAGATTTTCCTAATTCTGAGTTGCTGTTTAACCTGTTTATGAGGTATGTAAAAAAGATACCTAAGCACTAGAATATCCAGTTAAATGGTACAATAGGCCAGGAATTGAGCCAGGAGAAAAGAGAAGACTTCCCAGAAGTCAAAAAGGCAAAATGACAGATTGAGTTCACCCATCTTTGTTATGAAGAAGCTAATGAAATCAGAAGAGAATTATGAAATATAATGGGAAAAGGAATGATCTGGCTTGTATAAGAGTTTTTTTAATATACTCTTTGGAGTTAGTCTCACAATGTCCATTCCTATAGCTCCTGTGTTATGAATATTAATAAATAGCCAAATATATTAGTCACTGTTTGTCATCTTTAAATTACTTCAGAACTCCAAGTTATCAAGACTGCTGAAAAGGAGATTCCTGAGCCTTACCCTAAAGATTCTGATTAGCAGGTCTGTGATAAGGTCAAGGATCCTCATTTGTAACCAGCTTTCGTAACTAGATTGCCTACATAGAAATCTATGTAGGCCAGGTAAGGTGGCTCATACCTGTAATTCCAGCGCTTTGGGAGGCCAAGATGGCAGATCACGATGTCAGGCATCCGAGACCAGCCTGGCTAACATGGGGAAACCCCATACTTACTAAAAATACAAAAATAAGCCGGGTGTGGTGGCGCGTACCTGTAATCCCAGCTACTCAGGAGGCTAAGGCAGGAGAATCACTTGAACCCAGGAGGCAGAGGTTGCAGTAAGCCAAGATCGTGCCACTGCCCCCCAGCCTGGGCGACAGAGGGAGACGCCATCTTTTTTTTTGAGACTCTATCTCAGATAATTAGTTTTCTTATATTTTATTTTAAGGTCATTGATAAATTTTGAAAAGGAATATAAATAGAATAAAGACATAATCTTCATGGCCAGCAGATGTCACTCTCTGTGTGGCTTTGAATGAAAGCAGCTTTACTCTCATTACAGATTTTGCCAAATAGCTGATTTGAAACATCCCTAGAAAAGATGCTAGTGGCTCAAATTTAAAATGCCCCAGCTGAGCCTCTGTGGACCCAAAATTGACAGGCAGAACTCTGGTGGAGCCAGTAACCTCCAGACTACAAAAAATCACTGAGAAACACAGGTGAGAAAGAGAAAATATAAGTGACTTTTTCTGTAATACTGACAAGCATGTGGATTTTTGGCATCCTCACTGTTGGTCTAAGTCACCAAAAGCTACTTAAAGTTAGTGACTAATAGGTCAGCATTTTTGGGCACGAACCAATTGTAATCAAAACCAAATAGACTTATACTTTTAAATAGTGAACTTGATGATACCTGAATTTTATCTCAGTTTTATTTTATTTTTTGAGACAGAATCTCACTCTGTCGCCCAGGCTGGAGAGCAGTGGTGTGATCTTAACTTACTGCAATCTCCACTCCTGGGTTCAAGAGATTGTCCTGCCTCAGCCTTCCGAGTAGCTGGGATTACAGGCGCCCACCACTGCATCTGGCTAATTTTTGTATTTTTAGTAGAGATAGGGTTTCATCATGTTTGCCAGGCTAGTCTTGAACTCCTGACCTCAAGCGATCCACTCCCAAAGTGCTAGGATTATAGGCGTGAGCTATCAAGCCCAGCCTCAATTTTTAAAAATAGGCTCTGAGGCCAGGTGCAGTGGCTCACACCTGTAATCCCAGCACTTTGGGACGCTGAGGGAAGAAGGCTGCTGAGGGCAGGAGTTCAAGACCAGCCTGAGCAACATATCAAGACCCTGTCTCTACAAAAAATAAAAGTAGCTAAGCATTGTAGCACATGTCTATAGTCCAGCTACTGGAGCGACTGAGGCAGGAGGATTGCTTGAGCCCAAAAGATTGAGGCTGAAGTTGGCCATGATGGTCCCACAGTACTCTAGCCTAGGTGACAGAGTGAGACACTCTGAAAAAAAAACAAGACTGGTCACAGTGGCTCACAGCTGTAATTCCAGCACTTTGGGAAACTGTGGCAGGAGGATCACTTGAGCCCAGGAGCTTGAGACCAGCCTGGCCAAGAAAGTGAAACCCTGTCTACAAAAGTTAGCCTGGTATGGTGGCCTACACCCATAGTCCTAGCTACTTAGGAGGCTGAAATAGGAGGATCACTTGAGCCCAGGAGGTGGAAGCTGCAGTGAGCTGTGAATATGCCATTGCACTCCGGCCCAGGCAACAGATTGAGACCCTGTGTCAAAAAAAAAAAAAAAATTAGATACAATGGGCATGGCTTTAATATCTGCCAGGCATTTAGAAACATCGAATTTGAAGCTTTCAATGTCTACCTTAATTTGAAGGGCAGTATAAGGTTATTGCCTATTGTAATTTGTACTTATAAGAAAAAAGAGAGACCTCAGGTTATTTTACTTTTGTTTTACAAATTTGCCATAAATCTTACTATAATTCAGCAATGGATTTGAGTCCTATTTCGCTACTTACTAATTGTATAAACTTTGTAGTTCTTGGCATATAGGAATCGAGATCTGACAGTCTGATCATCTTGTTTTGACCTGCTTAAGATTCATTCATTAACTTGCTTCTTTTAATAATAACACCCTGATTTTTCTTGAGGAACTATTTTCCTCCCACTATCAGCCCGTATGACACCCTCCTGGCTGGTTAGCTCTGGTACCTTTGCTGGAATTAATGGGGAAGATGCTATACATGCTAAACTAATAGGATATGTCTGGACTTCCAGTGGTCAGTTTTGCTACCTGTATTAGGGTTCTTCAGAGATTCAGAACAAATAAGATGTATGTACATGTAAAAGGGATTTTATTAGAAAGAATTGGCTCACCTGATAACAAGGCAAAGTCCCACGATAGGCCATATGCAAGCTGGGGATGAGAGAAGCCAGTAGGGATTCAATCTGAAAGCCTCAAAACTGGGGAAGCTGACAGTGCAGCCTTAAGTCTGTGGCCAAAGGCCCTAGAGTCCCTGGCAATCCACTGGTGTAAATCCAAGAGTCCAAAGGCCAAAGAAACTGCAGTCTGATGTCCAAGGGCAGGAGGGGCAGGAGGAGCAGGAGGAAGCATTCAGCATGGGAAAAAGAAGGAAGCGAAGAGATGCAGCATGCAAAAGCTATCTTACCTTCTGACTGCTTTGTTTTAGCAGAGAACAAATGTAAGCTATAAATGCTTACATCAAAAAGAAAAGTCACCTGGGTGCAGTGGCTCATGCCTATAATCCCAACACTTTTGGAGGCCAAGGCAGTTGGACCACCTGAGGTCAGGAGTTCAAGACCAGCCTGACCAACATGGTGAAACCTTATCTCTACTAAAAATACAAAAATTAACTGGGCGTTGTGGCAGGCACCTGTAATCCCAGCTATTCAGGAAGCTGAGACAGGAGAATCGTTTGAACCCAGGAGGCAGAGGTTGCAGTGAGCCAAGATCGCACCATTGCACTCCAGCCTGGGCAGCAGGGTAAAACTTTGTCTCAAAAAAAAAAAAGAAAAGAAAAGTCAATAACCTAAACTTCCACCTAAAGAAACTAGAAAAGTAAGAGCAAACTAAAAGCAAGTAGAAGGAAGGAAATAATAAAGATTAGAGGGAAATAAATGAAACTGACAAACAATAGAGAAAATCATAGAAATTAACAGTTGGTCCTTTGAAAATATTAACAAAATTCAGAAACCTTAAGTTAGACTGACCTAGGAAAAGCAGGAATGAAAGAGAGAACGTTACTACCAACCTTACAGGATCGAAGGAAATATTTTGAACAATTGTATACCAACAAATTAGATAACCTAGATGAAATGGAAAAATATAAAAGGCACAAAGTCCCAAAACTGACTCAAGAAAAAACAGAAACTGAATAGACCTGTAAAAAGTAAAAAGATCGAGTCAGTAATCCAAAAAAATCCAAGGAATTAGGGAAAGTCTTAGGACCAGATGGCTTCGCTGTCATCTGATGAATTCTACCAAATATTAAAAGAACACCAATGCTTCACAAATTCTTCCAAAAAATTGAAAAGGGAGGAACACTTACCTCATTCCGTAATATCAAACCAAACAAGCAACATCACAAAACTACACACCAGTATTCCTTATGAAAATTGAAAAGGAAGGAACACTTACCTCATTATGTAATGTCAAACCAAACAAATAACATCGCAAGAAAATGACAGACTAGTATTCCTTATTAATATGCTTATAAAAATCCTCAATAAAATACTAGCAAACTCAATCCAACCACATATAAAAACAATTATACATTATGACAAAGTGAGATTTATTCCAAGAATGCAGGGTTGGTTCAATGTGAAAGCCAACCAGTACAATACATCAAACTAATAGAATAAAAGAAACCACATGATCATTTCAACAGACATAGGAAAAAACACTTGACAAATACAATATCCTTTAATTAAAAAAAAACAAAACTAGAAATAGAAGGAGACTTCCCCAACTTGATAAGCCTTTATAAAAAACTCACAGCTAACATACTTAGTGGTGAAAAAAAGCCTTTCCCACAAGATCAGGAAAAAACAGTACTGTCTACTCTCACCACTTGTTTGTTTTTTTGAGAGAAGGTCTCACTCTGTTGCTCAGGCTGGAGTGCAGTGGCACAATCATGGCTTACTGCAGCCTCCACCTCCCAGGCTCAAATGATCCTTCAGCCTCCTGAGTAGCTGCAACCACAGGCACACACCACCGTGGTAGGTTAATTTTTTGTATTGTTAATAGAGGTGGGATTTTCCCATGTTGCCCAGGCTAGTCTCAAACTCCTGAGCTCGAGCATTCCGCCTGCCTCAGCCTCCCAGAGTGCTAGTATTACAGGTGTGAGCCACTGTTCCCAGCCACCACTTGTATTTAACACTGTACTTGGAGGTTCTAGGCAGGACAATTAGGCAAGAAAAAGAAAAAGAAGAATTACTTTTTATTACCATTTGTTATTCGACATAGAAGCTCTAAGAGGTGTACTCAGAGCACCCACTGGTGTCCCAGACATAGTCTTTCTTGCTGCCATTGTGTAGCAGCAACCCAGTTTCTCCTTGGTAATCATAATTGATTGCCCTAGCCAGTAAAGTGTTTCCATTCTCTGCCTGTTGGTTCATTGACATAAGCCCAGAACTAATGGTGATGGACAGAATTCAATTGCCGGATAATAGGACCCAAAATGACAGAACTATAATTTATTACAGGAAAAGGACATAATATATAGCATCAGCATTGAAATACAGATATGTATCATAGCTAAAGGCTGCCTCATACAAAGAGGTCGAGAGGACAGTTTTGAGCACTAAGTGTCAGGGCCTGTGGTAGGCAGAAAAATGGTCCTTCAAAGATGTCAGCATACTTATCCCTGAAACCTGTGCATGTGTTACTTTATATGGCAAAAA